ATATTATCTGCAGTTTTGTTTTGTTTTTTAAATATACTTTTGGGATTTGAAGCACACAAGTGAACATTCAATACAATGAAGCACACTTCTTTTCCACGAGGGTCTTCACTAACTTCCCTTCCTCGTTTTTGTCCAGTATATTTTAATCAGCTGGTGTTTTTTGATTTTTTTTGTAGTGGATGTATGAAGTCAGTTTTCCTCAAGTTACACTAGCAGGTAGTAGGAACCACAGGTGTCCAGAATCACATTAAATATGCAGATGATTTTAAACAATATTTGTTTCCTAATTGCTGTATCAGTTCAAATCTAACAATGTTCTAACTGAGATACATTTTCCTTGAAGTCTGATTGTCTTATCTTTCTTTAAAATAAATGGCATTTGCTTTGATATTTTGTATCTAATGCAATGATATGCATGCATTTTTAAGTATGCCTTAAGCGTCTTATATGCTCTCTGCACTCTCTTGTACAGTATTTCCTCATTGAATTATGAGCCAATAGGATGACAGCAGCTTTCCTCCAATCATATCTCAGCACATGGTCTCTGCACTGGAACAGAAAGTAAAAGTGGCAGAATAATTGGGATTTTTCTCATCCAGCTGGGAGTGAAGGCCTGTGTGTTCATACTAAGGGTTGCACAGACTAGCCCAACGTCAGGTTTGCTGTGGAAAAATATCAAAGCTTAATCTCTATTATATTTCGTTATTATTATTATTATTATTACTTTAAGGCACTCCTAGTCATATTTACGTCTTTTTGTGGGTTTTTACAAATATTTAACCAATGAACAGCATTCAAAAGAGCTTGTGACTAAACCTAGTAACGCTATCAGATCCTTCAGCGAAACCTCATAACCTCACATTCAGAGATAAGTGCCATGCAGTCTGGAGACAGCTTGTTCACAGTGCAAAGGTAAATGAAGAACTGATGTTTGAATAAGTACAGTGTTTTCTTTACCCCAGAAACACTGTCTATAAAGGCTAATGTTTTTGTGAGTTTAAAAAGCAGAGAAGAGTCTTAGCATTTGCAGTCTAGGTGTAGGCCTAGCTAATATCATGTTTTATATTGCCTATCCTGTGCATAGCACTTCATATTTTATATCACGAGATTTTGGCCAAATGTATTCAACAACAAAAAACTAAGCACCCATTTAGCTACAATAAACTTTATACCCTGTAAGTTGATTTAAATGTAATGCAATGCACTCACTGCCTCAGATGCAGCCGTTTTAATGACGGACAAAACACAGGTCTCTGGCATTCGCTGGTCAAAAACCTCGTAACTCCATTTGAGCTTGATTTTCATAAAATGTTAAAGGTGGGGTAAGCTCTTTTGTTTTTTATCCGCCATCTCTATCTTTCTGTTGCTCGGCTCGCTAATGTCCGTCCTTTGCACTGAACGCTCTCTCCTCCACATCATGAGTAGACACGCCCCTTACTGCTGATTGGCTACAAGTTTGTTTTGCTATTCGGCCCAAATCTGTTTTCTAAAGCGTTTTTGGAAAATCGCTTACCCCACCTTTAATATTATAATGGCACGTGCAAATGTCTGATCATATATAAAGCCACAATACCGACACTGACGACGCAGTGTTTAATTAACAAAAAAAAAAGGAAAAAAAAAAGGAAATGTTTACATTCCCTGCTGAAAAAAAAAACGCTAAAACCAGCCAACCATCACAGCTGGTCAGCAGGCTGGTTTTAGAGGGGTTTTGGCCGGTTCTTTAGCTGGTGAGGCTGGGAGACCAACTAAAACCAGCTACTTCCAGCTTAAACCAGCTAAGACCAGCCAACCAGCTTAGGCTGGTTTTAGCTGTTTTTTTCAGCAGGGTTTCCTGAGAACAGTAGTGGTTTTGGACATACAAGTTTTCTGCCCGATAGCGACGATATGTAAATTTGTTGTTTTATCATCACCAACAACATAAAGCTACCTATGACTTTGCTCAAGTTTCACATTAAATATGAGTACTACTTTTAATATAATATCCAGTTTTAATATGCCATTTGAAGCAATGTTTGTGCGATTTTGCTATATTTCAGTGCCTAGTGGTGTGCCTGGGATTTTTTTATCCTGATCAAAGCTTTGCCGTGGCTACAAAAAGGTTGGGAAACACTGCACTAGTCGATTAGTCGACTAATGCTCTGCCGTGATGCTTTAAGCTTGACGTCGACTAATCACAGGTCCTATAGAGGGCGCAACAGGACAACTTTGAACTCCACATTTACGCTCAGTTTCCACACAGTTAAAATGACAAATAAATGCATACTCCGAAAGCGCTCCACAAGACACATATGATTACACCACCTGGCTGCTCGAAACTGAACGGGAGAATGCACGTTTTAAACAGCTAATTGTACAGGTAAGTTCATCGCTGCATTGTAATTCAGTAGCGTGGAAATGTATGTCAACACTGTTCTGTGATTTCTCAGTAATATAGCTTAGAAACTGAAAGGTTCTTGCATATATTTCTTAGTAACTAAAACCCACAGCTTCACTGTTATGCATTCATATAAATCTTTACTTTGCTACTTTATCTGGATCTGATTCAGAACGAGCAGAAATCTGTGAGAAATATAAGGACCCTAAGACAAAAGAACTGATAAATGGGCTGTTATAGGAGCAGTAGCACTGTGGGCAGTACTTTATATATCATAGGCCACAGCTGTGCACGAGGTGTTAAAGTCTCAGCTCAAGGTTCAGGCTTATTTCTTCATCAATGACGCCATCAGCGACTAATCGACGTCGACTGACTGTCATCAGATAAATATCTACTTTAAAAACATCTGAAGTCGTTCAACCCCTAGTTCATACAGCTCTCCACACAATGCTGCATGCAGCAGACAGCAGAATGATTTCAATACATACAATTCATTAACTAAAACTCATCTTTAATTTACTGAAACTATATAAAGTGATGTAACAAGGATATTCCCCTTTCTTACAAGTCATAAACGCATTATTACATTATAATTACCATGTAAAAACATGCTGAAGAACCTTGAAGTAAAACATGAATATCAAAGTACCACCTGATACCATCACTGCACATGCTACCATTGTATTTTTGTAAATGATACAACAGACTATAACTGTTGCAAACACTAAAAGTTATATGAACAACCATATGAACTCTTTTCTATATTATAGCAAAATCTTAAGTAGGCTACACCTGGCTCTTAAACCACACGTGCTTTCCTTTATAAGATTGTGAGGCTTTAGAAAAGCATGCTTACAACTGTAGCATTGTTCCTTGTTAAAAATAAGTGATCATTTCCGGAGTATTTCATCAGAAGCTCTCCCTGTGATGGTCCAGGAACAGGTCCAGGCAGACCCCTACAGATTCCTGATCCACATCACACTGTCATCCCAGCACCACACACACACACACACACGGTGTGAATAGTGTAACATCATGACACACACACACACACACACACACACACACACGTACCCGCACTCCTCTGCTGTCAGTCTTCCCGGGAATGATGGACAACGGTCAAGAAGATCTTGCTTCAACTTGTGACTCTGGCTGATATTTCCAGTGTCCGGTCACTCCGGTGATTTCACGTGTAACAACTTCTTCCTGATCAGAGCCGCCGACATCAGACCTGGGCGCAGTGACGCAGCAGAACCGGGGAGAAACAGCGACACCCAGCGGACACAATACAACACAACACAACACAATACAACACAACACAACACAACACAACACAACACACACCGGCGCACAAGAGACTGTAAAGAGTGATCAGTACAGACGAATCCTGCACACCATTTATTAAAAAAGGATGTGATTTAAGAACGACTTTTTATAATATAATAAATAACCTTTTAAAACAGATTTATTATGGTCACTGATTTTAAAATTACACATAAAATATTAATTATATGTAATATTTAATTATACATATTAATATGATTTATAAATATGTATTAATTTGAATAAAATTAAAATAAACCCTATTTTTAAATATGTATTTACAATCATTAAAGTGATTTATTATAACATATAATCATATATTAAAATCAGTTTGAATCTATTATATATGAAAATGTGATCAAGACACGTGATCAATACATGATCATCAATTTGATAATATTATATAATATATATTCCGAGCATGTGATAACAGTTTTTGTGACCTGCTTACTAAAGAAAACCTCTGCTTAAGCTGTAAGCTAAATGAACTGAAAGCAATACATAATTATGAATTTAAAAAAAGACGTTAACATGTCTGTAACGTGTCGTCTTATGACAGTTTTATTTACACAATACACACAGAGGTATAAAGCTTGCAGACAAGCCACCAGGCTTTTGAAATGTGCTCATATTTCATCATTTAGTTTTTTTTTCTTCATGCTTAAGATGATATAAATATCTTAATAAAATTGACATCCAGTCCAAAACTTCCATAAATCATAATTTAAAAAAAAAAAAATGTAGAAATGAAATTCGAAATGCCTTGAGATGATTGATATACACTATCACTCAAAAGTTTGGGGTTGGTCATATTTTTTAAAATGTTTTTGTAAGAGCTCTCTTATGCTCTCCAAGGCTGCATTTATTTGATCAAAAATCCAGTATAAACATATTATAGCATAATATTATTCACATGATCCTTCTATTATCATTCTAATATGCCGATTTGCTGCTAATATATATATATATAATAAGAAGAATTATTATTATTATCAATGTTGATAATATTTTGTGGAAACTGTGATATATTTTTCAGGATTATTTGATGAATAGAAAGTTACAAAAAACATAATTTATTTGAAATAGAAATGTATTGTAATATTATAAATGTCTTTACTGTCACTTTTGATCAATTTAATTGCATCATTGTTGAGTATTAATTTCTTTAAAAAAAAAAAAAAATAGTACTGACCCCAAATTTTTTTAACTGTACTTTTAAGATCACCATAAACTCAACGAGCTTCGAATGATAAAATAAAAGAGTCTCCAAAAGCTCCCGCAGGACAAACTCTTTGAAAGAAACTTCATTTTCAATAAGCTCATGATTACAAATTCTAAACCACCATGTAAGGTGGCCAACTGCTGCAAACAAACTCTGAAAGAGAGGGGGACATCTGATCCGTGGCAGAATATAGGCAAGGTCATAAACAGAGGTCTGCACATCCACAGCCGTACACTGAAATGAAGCCACGCTTTCACACAAGCAGCCAAAGAAAGGCAAAGCCCTTGTGTGTGCATCTGCTGCAGCAGAGCGGAGGAAGGCTTCTGTTCATGTGCAGCTAGAGCTTATTGACTGGCAGAGGTGAAGCAGCACTGAGGGCCGGGGATCAGGTCCGGCGCGGCTCCAGTCTGTGGGACAGCTGGGACAGGGTACGCTGGTTGTCAATCACGCTAATGTGACGCACATAGCTCCGCACATCCTGATGGCTTTTACCAGTCGCCTGCGGTGCTTCTTGATCTAAAGTGATGAAATAGAGAGCAATGCACTGAGTTTTGCTGAATCAGATGAACTTAGACATGATTTTGATGTTAAGTTTCTACTGTTGTCTTACTGAATGGCTGACTTCGGCAGTATCTCATGATTCTGACTGTGTTTGCAATCATTCTCTGGAAAACACACAGGAAACATTGAACAAATCGAATTTAACACCATCTCAGAGACGGTGAGAAAGATCCCTCGCAAACGTACCATTTTCTCAAAGTTCACCAATCTGTCAGTAAACGTCTTGTTACCTTCATGTGTGAAAGTCATGTCTGAAATGCAAAGATAAACATTAGACATTTAAGCACTAATAATCTTTTTTGTATCATTAAACTAAACAGTTCTTCACAACATGTTGTGCTTTCCATTAAATTAGTATTTTGACGCTTAATGTGCTGCGTGTGTGAATTATGTGTGAAGAAATATCCAAATGTACAGTACGGTAAAAGTATAGGAGTGCTATTTAATTTATTGTGTTTAATTTTGTTGTATACTTGCATGACATTTTTAATAACATAATAGTAATAACTGTTATGATGCTGATGAATCATCATCGTTGTCTTAAACGAAGATATATATTTAAATAGATGCAATATTTATTATATATAATATTTGATTACATATCAGAATATTATTCATAAACATTTATTTGAATAATTATTCAAATAAACCTTACAAAATAAAAAGTACAAAAGTACAAATAATGCAGTCATTATAGCATTATTTGAAAATGAATTTACATTTTGACATAACTGAAATTTAACAATAAATTAATAAAACATGTTTTTATTAATGAATGCATTTATGAAAAAATGAATAAAAAATGTGGAAAATGCTACTAATAAGACCATATAGGTGCGTCACAATTAATTAATAAAACATGTTTTTTATTAATTAATTTTAAATGATTAAAAATGTGGAGAATGCTACTAATAAAGACCATTTAGCTGTGTCACACATTGTACTAATTAATTAAACATTTTTGTAGACAAATATATATGGTGCCTCTATGTCTTCACGAAACTTTTCATTTTAAATATACAGTATTGGAGGAGTTCCCATACTTCCATTTATGACATTTTCCGTTTTGCTGACTTTACTATTATTCAAAAATCTACTAAAGACCATGTTGATGTGTCACGTTTGACTGGTGTGTGTGATTGCAGTGTAAAGCTCACCTTTAATTAATAAAGGCATGAAGGGAATGATAGGTGGCTCTAACTTGGCCACTGTAAGTCGATACGCTCGGTGATTTCTGGAGGGATCCTGCAATGAGAAAGACAACAGATCTCTGAAATCCTCTTTAAGTAGCTTTGATATTAGGTGACATGTTTAGGTCACTAGCAGATGAACTATAGTACCATGTTGAACTCACCATCAGGTTTTCAAACTCGCCATAAAACTTCTTGAACTTGCTGGGCAGTTTCTGTGAGAAAGCATATCAGAGAATCAGCGTTAAACATGGCACAAGAGTTCATTCATGACAGTGTGTGTTATGTGTGTGTGTGTGGATATAAAGCTGTGTGCATGCGTGTGGTTGATGCTCACCTCCCATGTCTGACTGAGCCGACAGACCGCCGGGTTTCCCAGACCCATGATAATGGCAAAGAATGAGTTCAAATTCTTAAACTCTTTACAGCTTAAAAAAGTGAACACACAACATTTAGAGTAGAGCAGTCTAGTGTCTGTACTGATTCACACACATCACACAATCTTTACTATGACACACAACTACACTAGTAATAAAATCTATCTATCTATCTATCTATCTATCTGTCTGTCTGTCTGTCTGTCTTTCTATCCGTCCATCCATCCATCCATCCATCCATCCATCCATCCGTCGGTATATCCATCCATCAATCCATCTATCTACCTACCTACCTATCTGTCTGTCTGTCTGTCTATCCATCCGTTAGTTCATCTATCTGTCTGTCTGTCATCTATCTATCTATCTTTCTATCTATCTATCTATCTATCTGTCTGACTGTCTGTGTCATCTATCTATCTATTCTTTCTATCTATCTATCTATCTATCTATCTATCTGTCTGTCTGTCTGCCTGTCTGTCTGTCTATCTATCTATCCATCCGTTAGTCCATCCATCCGTCCATAGTCTGTCTGTCTGTCCGTCTGTCCCTCTATCCGTCCATCAATCCATCTATCTACCTACCTACCTATTTGTCTGTCTGTCTGTCTATCCATCCGTTAGTCCATCCGTCCGTCTATCTATCTATCTATCTATCTATCTGTCTGTCTGTCTGTCTATCCATCCATTAGTCCATCCATCCGTCCGTCTGTCTGTCTGTCCGTCTATCCGTCCATCCATCCGTCCGTCTATCCATCCATCAATCCATCTATCTACCTACCTACCTATCTGTCTGTCTGTCTATCCATCCGTTAGTCCATCCATCCGTCTGTCCGTCCGTCCGTCCGTCTATCTATCTATCTATCTATCTATCTATCTATCTATCTATCTATCTATCTATCTATCTATCTATCTATCTATCTGTCTGTCTGTCTGTCTGTCTGTCTGTCTGTCTGTCCGTCTATCCGTCCATCCATCCATCCGTCCGTCTATCCATCCATCAATCCATCTATCTACCTACCTACCTACCTACCTATCTGTCTGTCTGTCTATCCATCCGTTAGTCCATCCATCCGTCTGTCCGTCCGTCTGTCCGTCTGTCTATCTATCTATCTATCTATCTATCTATCTATCTATCTTTTGAAACTACCACTTAAATTAAATTTGCCTTGACAAATTATTTTGGTAACACTTTATTTTAAGGTGTCCTTGTTACACGTTACATGTACTTACTATTATAATAACAATTAATTATACATAATTACATGCAAGTAACCCTAAGCCAAACCCTAACCATATAGTAAGTACATGTAGTTAATTAATACTACTCAGTACTTATATTCATAATTACACTGTAACAAGGACACCTTAAAATAAAGTAGTGCCTGTTTTTGGAACTAGAAACATTTCTTATCTCAGTAGTTATACTACTTAGTATTTATTTGTAAATGTCTAAATTATAGTTCAGTTAAAAAGTTGGTTACATGTCTGTCTGTCTATCTATCTATCTATCTATCTATCTGTCTGTCTGTCTGTCTGTCCGTCTGTCCCTCTATCCGTCCATCAATCCATCTATCTACCTACCTATTTGTCTGTCTGTCTGTCTATCCATCCGTTATCTATATATCTATCTATCTATCTATCTATCTATCTGTCTGTCTGTCTGTCTGTCTTTCTATCCGTCCATCCATCCATCCATCCATCCATCCATCCATCCGTCGCTGTTCTGCTTTTTACATTTTATCTATCTATCTATCTATCTATCTATCTATCTATCTATCTATCTATCT